AATATAAAATGACCACTCAGACTCCCCAACCTCTAGGTAAAGTTTAGGTGTGACTATTTATAATTAAGATTGTGTGTGACTAGTTATAATTAAGATCCTATCTCTTTTGTTCAATCTTATTATTATTTTAGGATTAGGGATTCGTAAGAAAGGCTGAATAAAATAAAATTTCTAAATACCTCATCTTCTAGGCATTCTGGAACAAATTACTTCATATAAGGTTTTCATACAAACCTTTTGAATTTTGGGATAGCTTTAGGTGTTGGCATAGGTCAAATTTGTTTTTTGGGAGGGGGGTTTGAATACTTTCAAAGTTTAGATAATTTGGGGTTGTGGGTTAGATTTAAGGTTTGTGTCAGATTAAAGGTTTAGGATTTGTCTTAAGGTTAGGTTTTGGGATTAGGACTTGACTAGGGTTTAGGTTAGGGTTTGGGGTTAGGTTTTGGAATGTGAGGTTGGGGTTTTGACTTTATGGTTTAGGGTTTGATTTTGGGGGGTTTCAGGGTTGGCTTTGGGTTTAACTTTAGGTTTGGGATTAGACTTTGGGATTTTAGATTTGACTTTGGGGTTTTAAGGGCTGACTTTGGGGTTTATGGTTTCATTTTATAGTTTTAAGAGTTTGACTTTACAATTTGAAGGGTTTTAAGGGTTGATTTTGGTTTTAAGGTTTAGTGTTTGGTTTTAGAGTTTAAGGTTTGAGATTGGTTTAAGGGTTTGGATTAGGTTTTGGATTAGTGTTTGGTTTTGGTTTTAAGGTTTAGGGATTGGTTTAAGGCTTGGGTTAGGGTTTACCATGATTTTTATGAACCTCTTCAAAAATCCCCAACATCTAAATAGACTTTCAAAACAAGCCAAAAAAATCATGGTTTTGAAATTTTTTAGTGATTTAAAGTGCAAGAAAATATGTTAAAACAATGTGTAGCTATTTTAGATGCAAGAGATTATTTTACTATGATGCATGACGAGCAAATTAATAAGCACTTAGCAAACACTAAAACCAAGCAATTGATGACTACAAGAGAAAGGACGAGCTTGGCCAAGGTAATAGGCAATGCCAAGACCAAGACCACTAGGTTATGTTAGTAAGCACCATGTAGTCATTTTATCAAACACTTGAGAAACTTATGAAAATTTATATTTTTATTTCATCATACACCTTGAAAGCATTTAAAGCATTAACTTTTTAATTTTGAAAATGTATTTAAACACCTAGAAAACTATCAAAATAAATAGTTAAAAAAAAACCAATTTTTTTTAAACCATAAAACATGTAGCAAACAAGTCATAAAGTAAGGAAATACATAATCATAAGGTTGCCTACCATAAAACATGTAGCAAACAATTCATAAAGTAAGGAAATACATAATCATAAGGTTGCATCACCAAAAACTTATTAAATAACATAATGGTAGCCAACAAACCATCAAATGAATGGAAAAAGTACATAGATGAAGATGTTGATGGTATGAAAAATGAGAGAAAATGTGAGAAAATGGTTACCTTATAAGGCTTTCCAAATTTTTTTTTTTTCTTTTTTTTGGTAAACCATCACTTTCTCTGCTACTTTCCCTTAAATTCTAGCCCTAAATTATGTGTTTAAAGATCAAGACCCTTTCTTTTTAGCCTTTGGATCAATTTCATCTAAGGCTTATAGTTATTTTGTCTTTTTCCCCTAAACTTAGTGACCAAAGATAGCAATCTTAACCTTAGGATTTAAAATTTTTAAAATCAATTGCTTTGAAAACATACAGTATCCATCTTGGCCTATACTATACGTATCATAATGAGAAAAGACCATTTTACAATTATTAGTGTTTTTAAGCTTTTTCATGATTTTCCTAAAATCTTATGATCCAATATTTATTTTCATGATTTTAATAGACTAAAAATCATAAAATAATACCTACCTATGATTTGGAGCTTTTCATGAAAAGCTAACCATGAACAGATCAAATTACAAAATATTCC